CAAAAAACTACCCAAGAACAAAACCCCCGGGCCAGATGGATTTACCTTGGAATTTTATCAGACATGCAGAGAAGACATAATACCCATTTTCCTTAAAGTTTTCCAAAAAATAGAAGAGGAGGGAATACTGCCTAACTCATTCTATGAAGTCAACATCACCCTAATACCAAAACCAGGCAAAGACCCCCCCAAAAAAGAAAACTACAGACCAATATCCCTGATGAAAGTAGATGCAAAAATATTCAACAAAATATAAGCAAAGCGAATTCAAAAATACTTCAAGAGGATCATACACCATGACCAAGTGGGAATAATCCCAGGGATGCAAGGATGGTACAACATTCGAAAATCCATGAACATCATCCTCCACATCAACAAAAAGAAGGACAAAAAACATATGATCATCTCCATAGATGCTGAAAAAGCATTCGACAAAATTCAACATCCATTCATGACAAACTCTTGACAAAACGGGCAAAGAGGGCAAGTAACTCAACATAATAAAGGCTATATTTAAACACACAGCTAACTTCATACTGAACAGTGAGAGGCTGAAAGCATTTCCTTTGAGATTGGGAACAAGACAGGGATGCCCACTCTCCCCTCTGTTATTCAACGTGGCACTGGAGGTCCTAGCCATGGCAATCAGACAAAACAAAGAAGTACAAGGAATTTAGATTGGTACAGAAGTCAAACTGTCACTATTTGCAGATGACATGATATTGTACCTAAAAAACCCTAAAGACTCCACTCCAAAACTACTAGAACTAATATCGGAATTCAGCAAAGTTCCAGGATACAAAATTAACAGACAGATATCTGTAGCTTTCCTATACACTAACAATGAACTAACAGATAGAGAAATCAGGAAAACAATTCCATTCACAATAGCATCAAAAAGAATAAAATACCTAGGAATAAACCTAACCAAGGAAGTGAAAGACCTGTATCCTGAAAACTACAAGACACTCTTAAGAGAAATTAAAGAGGTCACTGACAAATGGAAAATCATTCCATGCTCTTGGCTAGGAAGAATTAATATCATCAAAATGGCCATCCTGCCCAAAGCAATATACAGATTCGATGCAATCCCTATCAAATTACCAACAGCATTCTTCAATGAACTGGAACAAATAGCTCAAAAATTCATATGGAACCACCAAAGACCCTGAATACCCAAAGCAATCCTGAGAAGGAAGAATAAAGTAGGGGGGGATCTTGGTCCCCAACTTCAAGCTCTACTAAAAAGCTACAGTAATCAAGACAATTTAGTACTGTCACAAGAACAGAGCCACAGACCAGTGGAACAGAATAGAGACTCCAGACATTAACCCAAACATATATGGCCAATTAATATACGATAAAGGAGCCATTGACATACAATGGGGAAATGACAGTCTCTTCAACAGATGGTGCTGGTAAAACTGGACAGCTACATGTAAGAGAATGAAACTGGATCACTGTCTAACCCCATACACAAATGTAAACTGCACATGGATCAAAGACCTGAATGTAAGTCATGAAACCATAAAACTCAGAAAAAACATAGGCAAAAATCTCATGGACATAACATGAGTGACTTCTTCATGAACATATCTCCCTGGGCAAGGGAGACAAAAGCAAAAATGAACGAGTGGGACTATATCAAGCTAAAAAGCTTCTGTACAGGAAAGGACACCATCAATAGAACAAAAAGGTATCCTACAGTATGGGAGAATATATTCATAAATGACAGATCTGATAAAGGATTGACATCCAAAATATATAAAAAGCTCACACACTTCAATGAACAAAAAGCAAACAATCCAATTAAAAAATGGGCAGAGGAACTGAATAGACAGTTAGTTCTCTAAAGAAGAAATCCAAATGGCCAACAGGCACATGAAAAGATACTCACATCACTAATCATCAGGGAAATGCAAATTAAAACCACAATGAGTTATCACCTCACACCAGTAAGGATTGCCATCAACGAAAAGACAAACAACAAATGTTGGCGAGGTTGTGGACAAAGGGGAACCCTCCTACACTACTGGTGGGAATGTAAGTTAGTTCAACCATTGTGGAAAGCAATATGTAGGTTCCTCAGAATGCTCAAAATAGAAATACCATTTGACCCAGGAATTCCACTTCTAGGAATTTACCCTAAGAATGCAGCACTCCAGTTTGAAAAAGACAGATGCACCTCTATGTTTATCGCTGCACTATTTACAATAGCCAAGATATGGAATCAACCTAAATGTCCATCAGTAGATGAATGGATAAAGAAGATGTGGTACATATACACAATGGAATATTACTCAGCCATAAGAAAAAACAGATCCTACCATTCGCAACAACATGGATGGAGCTAGCGGGGATTATGCTCAGTGAAATAAGCCAAGCAGAGAAAGACAAGTACCAAATGATTTCACTCATATGTGGAGTATAAGAACAAAGGAAAACTGAAGGAACAAAATAGCAGCAGAATCACAGAACCCAAGAATGGACTAACAGTTACCAAAGGGATTGGGACTGGGTAGGATGGGTGGGAAGGGAGGAATAATGGCAGGGAAAAAGAAAGAGGGCATTACGATTAGCATGTATAGTGAGTGGGGGTCACGGGGAGGGCTGTCCAACACAGAGAAGACAACTAGTGATTTTACAGCATCTTACTGTGCAGATGGACAGTGACTGTGAGGGGGTATGTGGGGGGGACTTGGTGAAGGGGGGAGCCTAGTAAACATAATGTTCTTCATGTAATTGTTGATTAATGATACCAAAATAAAAAGAAAAAAAAGTTATAGTTTTATTGTCTCCCTGTTAGAATTTAAAATGGAATTGCTGACTAAACCTAGAGTGGAAACAGGTATTAATCCTTACCCCCGTGTCTTCATTCTTGCCATTCTACCTGTCTAGAATTATGTTCCTTTTCCTCTTGTCTTATCCTCATCTTTTAGGTCTGGTGGCTTCCATGAAACCTTGAGCATTCCAGTCAACACTGATCTCTTCTATATCAAGCCAGTGCTAAAGTGTTAACACTTAATGTTCCCTAACTGTTTAATATATGCTTTTTATTTCTACAACTGAGTTGTAACTTCCTTGAAGACAAGATTCATGTCTTAAATTTGTTTTTCATCCAGAGATGTGGAAGAATAGAAGGTATCCAAAAATGTGCAGTAATTGATTAGATATAACAAAGATATCTCCTATTACGACATTAGTACAAAGGCAATATAGGGAGAACCTTTCTCCAAAGAAAAATTCCCAGGGTAATTAAAACCCTGACAGGTCTGCTTCATGAAGGAGAAACTACTGGTTGCAATAAAATCAGTGTATTCTCTGTGAACTCTGTTATCTCAATTTTTCCCATGACTATAAACTTGAAAAATTGTCTACTCCATTTTAGAGAGGTCTAATATTTAAGAGCTCTTATGACATTTCTTTCTGTCACTGAAATGCTTCCGATACTGTTATGATAATAAAACAGGACTTGCTTCCTGTGACAACTACATGTCATTTTGACATGGTCTTTTTTAGCTATTCACAATGAAAACAGTCTTTTTTTGTTAGGGGAAAGGTATTCTAACCAGAAAGGTACTTTAATGTATGATATTTAATAACTGTAAAATTGTAGGCTTATAAGTCAACTAAGTTGTAATGACAGCGTTCACAAAGATATCAGAGTCCTAAAATCAGCAACAACTTTACTAGCACCAAAACCGATTAACTTTTATCATTATCAGACCAAAGACACCTAAAGTTCAAAAGAGAGTATTTTCCACTGCTAATTCTGTTGGAAGTTGATTCATGCTAAGTTAGTAACTTGATCAAAAGTATCTAATACGTTTAAATGTAAAGAATCTGCTATTTGTATTTAAAAAGCAGTTCTCAACTGTAGATATATTTGCTTAAGGAGAAATGATTTTAACAGACATTTTGGCTGTTAACAATAAGTTTCTCTTCTCTTAGCAGCCATTTATCTGTTCTAAATCTCTTATTCCTCAAACGTTTGCATATTTCTCCCAATCACAGAAATGTAACTGGATATGAAAACAGTTCTCTGAATGAGAGGAATAGCTCTAATCTAAAAAGTAATAATAAAGCCTCATCAACATTTAAAGTGTTCTAAGCTTCAACTATATGCAAGGAAATCAGTTGGTTCCAAAGGTCAAAAGTCATGTAAGGACTCAAATGCCCAGATTCTAGTGAAGCTTATAAACTAACTGAAAAGATAAGACACACAGATAAAAATATAATAATTTAGGTAGTAACCGAAGTTGTTTACCATGGTGATGACCACAATGATTGTGTCATTCTGAATATTTGATACCAAATTTCTAAATGATAACTTTTCAGAAGTTGATAGGCTTCTAGTAAATATTAAGAAACATGTGGTATCAGAACATTTATATATTCATGTACCTGGTGTGGCCCCTCTTTGCATAATATAAGACTATTAACTAAATATTCATCTTAATTGAACTGCATCCTATGAATTCCTGTACACCCTTCTGGGTCTAAACTACAGAAATCTAGGTTGAGCTTGAGATTCCTTGGTCAGGCATGACTTTAAGTATCCAAAGCGTTGTACTGAGGATGAATATAAGAATTAGAAAAAGAAAAGTTAGAGAAAGGCTAAATACGAAAGGAGAAAGGAACACTAGTAGAGAAATACTGCAAGTTTAAACAAAAGAAAGAGAGAGTATAAAAGGATAATGTAATGGATAATATGCTTGTCAAATATATGTCCATAATCCTTTTTTCTCCCTCTATCCAAAGTAGCACTGTTTATTAAAATCATACTTTCTTTATTAATGTACTTATCAGAAGGAATTTTTAGGATGATCCTTTCTACCCTGTTCCTAAATACATCTTAAATGATGGGTTATCTGAAGACTGAAATAAAATATGAAAAGCTTAATTCACACCAGTGTGATATATGGTCTTCAACAAGTTATATAATCCCTCTGTTTTCTTCCAATTTATAAATTTCTGTCTCTCTAAACTTTATATCTTACCTCCAGTTAGTGAAACTTCAGTTAGATAGATGTGAAAAGTTGGATGATTTCTTTTTTCAAAGAATTAAATCTGAAAAAATAAAATAGAAGATTATTAATTTTTGTGTTATCTGGATCATTGCCTAGTTCTGATTAAGCTTCAGTTTAGTACCTGACCTTAGAAAAGGGTCAATTTAATTCAGTTACCATAGAAACTCACTGTTTTTGTTTTCAGGCAACTGAGATACTAAGGTCTGAATAATTTGTGAAGTAAAATTTTAAGCTTTTTTTGGCCGAACAAAACATGGAATTTGAAACTTGTTATGGTCAAAGTGGTTATCTCAATAAAAGGTTCTATGAAAAATCTCATAAATAACATTTGACTAAGTTGCTGTCAAGAATGCCCACAAGATTAGCTTTCATAGTTCTACATTTTTTTCATAAATTCTTATTTTTTCTCTACATTCTTATCAGAATTTGCTTTTAATTGACTGCCTCTTTTATGCTAGTTTTATGGTAGATCAAATGATATGTATTTCCCTCTATATCGTCATATGCCTTACACAATAACTATTTTAGGAAAGAATTATATAAATGGAAATAATTAACTTCCAGTGTATCTCAGCTACAATTGACCAACCATGTTCTTTAAAACTGTGAGGTTCAGAGAGGATTAAATCATATGACAAACCTTCTAGACCAGGACTATGCAAATAGAGAGGCAATTAACCTGATATGCTTACATTTTGTAGGCTTTTGCCTAAGACACTGATCTTGTCTTATAGATAGTCTTTCGTTTTGACTGACTAAGAGGATAACAAAGTATCAGACTCATAGTCCCTCCAATTCACTATTCTGTTTCTGATGTCAGTTGTGCAGTGCTAAGCACAAAATAAGCAATCAATATTTCATTGAACTGTTTTTGAAATAAGAAGATAGGTCTGATTTCTAAGACACCAATCCCAAAGCCATAAAATGCATGTAAATTTAACTCCTTTTTGAAACTTCATTTTCAGCATATAAAACCTTTTAACATATATAGTACTTCTTTTATTTATCTTAAAATCACTATTTCTACCCTACGTCCCGGTAATTCCACTTCCGGTATATGCCTTAGAGAACTCTTGCAAATATGTAGAGTGAGACAGCATGTCCTTGAAGCACTGCTTGTAATTGAAGAAAAAAAATGAAATCAACCAATAAATGACTAAAATGTGCCATATTTATATGATGGATTATTACATATATAAATGTAGACATATCAACATGTAGATCTCAGAAACAATGTTGAGTAAAAAGTATGGAGCCTAGACATACAGTAAGTACAATATTTATTAAAATTAAAAACACAAAATTTTATACATTACCCACGAATGCATATTCATGCATGGAAGGGATACAGTACCTTATGAATGTAGTCTTATCCAGGAGGGAGAGCAGCCATTATTGTGTATGGTCAAAGCAGACTTCAATTTCATCTATATAGTTTTATTTATTTTATTTTAAAAAGGACTTAAATGTGATAAAAATATTAACTGTTATATATTATTCTTGGAGGAGGTAGAAACATGGATGTCTAATATATTATTCTTTATATTTCTATGTTTAAAAACTCATAAACATAAAACTTCTTATAAAACTATGAAGAAAATCATGTAATATTGAGATAATAGGCTATTAAGCTTATTAAAAACAAAAAACAATGAGTACATCCGTCTAACATTGAGTAGGCTGTCATAGGAAGATCACTTGCACTTTGTTGCTCAAAATGCTAGGAACAAATTCTTATTTACTCTACCCATATACTCCCATGATTTTGCACACTGATTCAATCCATACCCATACCTACTCATCCTTTCTATGTAGAAAAATATTAAACACTCTATTCTGATCAAAGCTTTTGAGCACTTGTAACTGACTTTCTTTGGATCCCCTCCTAACATTATTTTTTACTTAAGGCATGGTGAACAGAAATGCCTAAATTTTTCAAGCATCAAGATACCAGGTTTTTATATCAATATGGCTTTCTTTTGTTTCAAGTAACTTTTTTGATGATGTTTATGTCTTTGTTGAATGTGCTTTTTTTTGGCTGCAAAGGACATTACTTGGCTACCATTTCCAAGAACCTCTATTCTAAGCATTCTAACATTGAGGAAATCTCATTTAATCCTTGCAATAAACCTAGGAAATAAATATTATTCATGTCATATGCAAATGTAGAAATTGAAACACAAAGAGGTTAAATAACTTGTTCAGGATAATCAGCTATTAAGTGTAGGAACCAGAAATTCAAACGTAGCTTTGAACAACTTCAAATGCCCTGCTCTTTCTACTTCCTCCAAAGTGCACAATTTTATAACGATTTCAAAATCTCTTGCCTAGATTATAATTTTACCAATTTTAGTAAAGAATTTCAAAATCTAAAGATGATGTTGTTTTCCTCTTGTTATGGTTATTCCTGTAAAAGAGTAAGCTGAAAGATGTTTTTGTCAGTACTATTGTTATGTGTCTGTTGGTTTAATATAAAGGCAGCGATAGATGATTCCAGAGCTATAACAGTGGCTGTTAACTGGAAGTGACTGTATCCTCCAGAGGATATTTGGCAATGTCTGGAGACATTTTTGATTGTCACAACTTGAGGTGGGGGGAGCTACTGGTATCTGGAGAGTAGAGGCCAGACATACTGCTAAGCGTCCTAAAAATACAGGACAGAGCCCCAAACAACTGACCAGCCCAAAATGTCCACAGTGCTCATGAGAAACACTGATCTGGAGGTAAGAATTGTAGACCACACTATAGCTGATTTAAGAAAACATTTAAAAATCACAGAATGTGTGTTGTAAAATGTAAAGGGCTCAAAGTTACAAAGCATGCTAACTTTACCTTAAGCAATTACAAAATAAAGTTCTAAAACAATGGGAATGACTTTGACAGAATTTTGACTTAAGATTCCAGAATTTATCTAGGATGACAAGTGGTAAGAAAGTAATAGTAAATAAAAGTAGTATTTAGAACTAAGTGTGTAAGTTTTGTGGCCAGTAAAATGTGATACAGGAGTACAGAATAGTAGTCTTAAGAGAGCCAGTGTTTTTTGTATTTTTACCTTGCCATTACCTGCCCTTCTGATAAAAGTCTTTTTTTTTCCTTGCTTTTTCTTCTCTTAAGAGTTTTCTTCCAACAGTTCCTGGATGGTTAAATAATAAAAATAAGGAAAAGGTTTATTAAAAATGAGTTTTTTTATGAGCACTTACCCCTATATTAAATAATTTCTGAATCATACAACTCTCAAACCAATTTGGAAGCTATTGAAGTGGGAAAGTATCTTTAATAACAGCAAGTGCTTTATTTTTTCTCATCCTATCATCCATCGACTCAGCTAATGATAACAGATTATAATTTAATTAGTCAAGTTTTAAAAAGGTTTCCTGGAAAAGAGAAATTTGTCTCAAATGATCTTAAAATCAAATGTTTCTAGAGAAATGTTCTGATAACTGTATTATCACCAAATATCACCATTTATTAAAAGAGCAATGAAACCTTAGAAATTGTCTCTTATAAAAATGGTAAATGGATGTATTTTTCCTAACTATTCAAGAGTATTTTTCAGTATTTTTCTATTCACTTGAGTCTTATATTCAGCTTCTCATCTTGTCTCCTTGTGCTCATCTCTCACTAACTACAAACTGAATAATTTTTCAGATCACCCATGGAAGCCACTCAATCCCATTCCTCCTGTCTTTGAAGTGTTTGTTCCCACCTCATCTTCTATTTGCCTCAGCTTATAGACTTTTACCTCTTCTGTAGCTCTTCAGGCTGTCACTTGAAGAGTTCTAGACTAGAAAATTTTGCAAATCTAGTGAAAAAGTGGAACAATGTAAACAGCAAGGTGTTCTCTGCCTGTCTAGAAAAAAAAAGGTCATAAGGTTTCCATTATCTCAATTTCTATCGCTTTGTGATTTCTAGCAAAGGACATCTTACAGAAACCAGAAAGACTGCTGGCCAGCTGTTATAGTGAATGGGTACCTGAGCTATAGAAATCAAGAAACAGAAGTGGTCTTATTTATGATTCGTCTTTGCCAATTTGGTATACATACTCAGAAGTACCAGATTAGAAATCAAGGAGTCCTGAACTGAATACAGACTACTATTTGCTCAAAACTTGTGTGGGCAAATCATATCATCTCTCTGAGCTTTGTTGTTTTCCTTTTTTTCTAATTGGTAAAAAGAGGAGGAAAATGCCTTTTCAGGTTGCCTCAGATTACTTTAAGTATCAAATGAAATGATGTATAAGAAGTATTTTGTAAACAATGAAGTTCCATCCAAACTGAGCTATTTTAGGTAACATAGGATTTATATTACTATTAGAATGTTAATTTCCATTACACAAACAGAGGCAAAATATGGACTTCTGGGCCCTACTCCAATCTTATTCTATCAGAATCCATTGAGGTGAGGCCTGTATTTTTAACAAGGACACCAAAGTTTGAGAAATATTATATAATACTACACGATTCTCATTTCTGGTATACTCCTTTCTTTCTACTTCAGTGGAAGTGTAACAGTCACGTAGCATTTAATTTTCCAATCATTTTGAAATCATTTGCTAAAAGATAACCAAAATGTCTTGTCAGAAACCAACCAAAATTGCATTTAAAAATTAAGTAATTTAGATTACAACTGCAGTTGTTATTATATTTTTAATTTTAAAGAGCAAAGCTTATTCTTTGTAAGTCAGTGGATTGCAAAACATTCAGAGAACTAGGAATGATAAACCATGAAAATAACTCAGTTTCCTGGAGGAATTATAGTAATTTACATTAGCTTTACTCATGTCAAATTTTAACATAGTCAATAGCTGCTGAGTGAACTTTAGATACCATGTTAACTATGGACATCTCAATTATCCCAGTGAAAAGTCAGAGATCTTTAAAAAAAATCTTTTAGTACCCATAGATGAAATTTACTGTATCTGAATTTATCAATATGTGACTGATGTTGCTTCAGGTTAAACCTTCATATTTAGAGTTAAGCTCCAGAAAAACAATTTGGGAGGCCCCTATACCTATTCTTTTTATCATTATAGTCCTATTCTAAAGGTGAGGAGAAAAAGGTAGTTGCCTAGTTAGGTGCAACAGAGGAAGGAGGTATTACTAAATCTGGTTGAGTGGAATAAACAAAGCCAAAATCCAAGATAACCCAAAACAGTAAGAAAGATGAATAAACATAATAAACAATGAATGAATAATTGTGCCTAGAGTGAGAGAGTAAAGTTACATTTTTAAACATTACATCTGACTTTAAAGAAGGTTAACCTTAATCATCACTTCGATAAAATAAGCATTTCCAGATTTCATCCTAACATGTTTAGGAGACTGTAGATAAATGGGAGTTCCTGTGGCCAGGATTCTCACCTGGCCCTGGTTGGCTAGCTCACTGCACACCTGTGGGCAATACATGGCTGTTGACTCTATAAAAAGAGCTCCGCCCAGTGCTCTGGGCACCACTTGGTGGCAGGGCTGTAAGGCTGCAGGAGAGCAGAGTAGAGGTTGGAGTGGTGGCAGCGCTGAGGAAAGAGGTCCAGAGGACGGCTGTGCAGGCAGAGAGGCCCAGAGGATGTTTGTGCGGGACAGCTGTGCAGAAAAGCTCAGAGGACAGCTGTGCGGACAGAGGGGCCCAGAGGCAGAGACTGGCTTGCTGCATACAGACTCGCTCTAAGTGAATGGGATTCTAGTGACTGACCTGCCACCTGGAAATAAAGATGGGTATAACCCTTTCAACCCCAAAGAGCATTCTGCTGTCAATTTTCTTTGGTCACACTGAATCCATAGTGAACTTGCCCGGGGCTGAAACCCATTGGCAAGACAGACTAAAATTAAGTTCTTGATCTTAACTGTTAAATCAGAGTTTGTGTTAATATAACACTAATATATTCTTAGAGGCTATATTAACCTGGGCACAACCCCCAATATTCCTTATCAGGAGAATGGATGAATAAATTATGATGTATTCATACAGTGGAATACTTTACAGCAAAGAAAGTGAATGACCTATGGTTACACACAATAACAGATAAGTAACATTATGATGAGTTATAAAAACAAGTCCAAGAAGAAAAAGCAGCATTTACACAAAGCACAAAAATATGCAACACTAGCATATTGTTTAGGGATGCAAATACATGGTGAAACTATAAAGAAAAGTGGAAATTTTACATAAATTCCAGACAGCTGCCTTTACAGAGGGAAGGAAAAAATGTGATTAGGAAACAGGTATACAAGGGAATTTAAAGGGAATGGTACTTTTCTTAAATTGGGTGATAGGTCCCAGTTGTTTGCTATATTCTTCTTATTTTGTACTCATGTTTTACAAATATTAGTTTATAGGTATTAAATACTTAAAAACAATTAAAAGTTCACATCTTCCCATTCTAGGCTTTCTCTGCACTAAAATAAGTTTATGATTTTAACAGATTTCAACTCTGCTTTCAATGGCAGCAGTTATAACTGAACATTCATATACTTTAAATAGTTCCATCACTGCCTAGGATCAAAAAATTTTCTTAATCTAACTTTCAGAAATAAGATAGCCAAGAAAAGAACAGGAGGGCAATTTTTGGAGTCAAAATTAATTCAGACCTCATAAAAGTTCTTAATCTTCTAAGTTATTAGTCAAGCAAAGATACAAAGTATTTTTTTCACTTAAGATGGCCATCAGCAAAAATTTTCCTAACATGTATCTTCAAATCTTAATTTTACTGAAATCTTCATCCTATCCTAAGGATCCTTCTCTTAAGAAGTTCTACAATACGCAAAACACTTTTAAAAACACTGCTTTAAAAAGGTCTATTCTTCTAAGTTACCTACATATAAGTAAAAAAAATGTCTTTAGTAAAACTTGGAAATGTTTGTTTTAATGGATTGTTGTGGTTTACCTCTGGACTTATTGAGAGAGCTGTGTTAATACATACTAAGCATCTAGTGATGAACATTTTAAGAAATATGTTTTATCTTTACACCAAAAAGAAAAGTTCTCAGTAACAAAATTGTTTATCTAGTAAGGAAAGTGAGGAAACAATAATTAAATCTGCCAAGTTTTGCCGCTCTCTATAAAAATAAATCTTGCATCTCAAAAACACATATCGAGAGAGATCAAAAAGTAAAAGAAATCTTTACACAGTTTCATTTATGGTAGTGGTTTCCAAATTGCACTTTTCTACAATCTTATATTCAAAGAGGTTTGTTTTGCCAGCATCCAGGGTTTATAATTAGTTAATAATCCATCATTAACACGAACAAGTAAAACAAGAGCTTTTAGAACCATTTTGGTTCTATAGGAAATAGTCCTAAAGAGAAAAAGAAGCTTAGTCAATTATATATTCACTATTTTCCCCACATACTGAAATTTTAAAGATGAAAACATTTTAATGTCAAACATAAAATTTCTAAGAGAATATTTATTTTAGCTATTTTTTTCAAAGTAGTATCTGTTAGCTCTTCCTTGCAATGTCCAAGACTTTGAATTGAAATGCAGCCACACCAGTGCCTGATTCCTTTTTTTCCAATAAATCTAGATATGGCGTCTAATAAAGTACTTTGTCTATTTCAAAAAGCCACATACAAAACGGCAACCACTATTTAGTGTTTCAATTAACCTCCCCGCTCATTATAGTTCAGATTTCATAGAATTTTCGTATTTTGCCATCTAACAAAAATATTAATAATCTATTTAATAGGAATACATATTTCACAGAAACTGCACTTCTTAAACCTAGACTTTCTTGTCCTCCTCTTCTAACTTAACATTTTAAAAATAATAATTCTTTCTAAAACTTCAGCTGAACCTCACAACTCAAAATTACCAACCCCGCTAGGCACGTAGGCCTGTATATCTTACGATCATACACATTTTTAAGTACTTTAAAAGCCCTATACCTTTTTCCTTCATCCGTAAGACTTAAGCTCCTAGGACAGGAATGAGGGGCCAAGGATAGTGTGAAATCTGAGGGAAGAGGTGGGACGATATGATAAGAAGAGTTCGTAGCACGACCAAAGAACTAGGAGGTTAGCAGGCTGACGAAAACCGTTAGGCGCTGGGCTGGGAGAGGGTGTACGCGACTAACTCGAGGCGGAAGGGCGGATCTCCTGCCCTCGAGCCCGCCAACGCCCCCAAGCGACCGCAGTCCGACCTAACCGCCTCTCCCAGAAGGAGCCATCTTGGCGCTGGTCCAGCCCCGGCCCCCGGGCACAGAGGTCTCCACCCCCACCCCCGGCCCGTCGCACGCCGAAACAGGAAGTGGGGCTGCAAACCTGGGAACCCGGAGGGCCGCCGCTTCGAGCTAGGACCGCACTCCGAGCTCCCTCCCATCAAACCCGTGCCGCTGCTCCGGGCTGTCGCCTCCCGAGAAGAGTGGTGGGACCTTGTCGAATATGGAGAGTATCCTTTCCCGTCTGAAAGCTGCTGCTGGGGCTTAGGGAAGCGGGGGGCAGGGGCTCGGGCCGTGGGAGGCGCCTGGTAGTGACCTTTCAGGTCTAGTTGTGGAAGGGTGAGGGCACTGACGCCGATTGGTAGGCGAGGGCAGCTTGTTTTGTTTTGTTTGTTGTTTGCCTGGGAGCCGCCGCCATCCTAGAATCGGGACGTGGGGGCTGCTTTGGCAAGAGTCAGAGGAGTCGCGGTACCGTTTAGAGAAGACTCGAGCGCGAACTCTCCCTTGTGGAGGGCTGCTGTCACCTGTCCTCTCAGTTAATGGAGCTTACTTCTTAGAAATCGAGGGAAAGTGGTGCAGAAACAGGCAGCAAGAGTTGGACAGAGGTTTGGGGCGGAGGTATAGATTCTGAAGGTATAAGGAGGGCAAATAGCTTTTGTGGAACTTTTTCCTTTTTCTGGATGGACATGACTGGTAATGAGGTGAAGTGCTTAATACCAGCCCTCCAAAGTGCTTGTTTGTTAAGAATCTTACTTAACACACATGGAGACTCAGAATTCCCTAAAGCTATAAAAATTCATCACGTGTTTATTTAAGTTTGCACACGGGTTACTAATTAAGCAGTGAGGTCGGAGTTAGGACCTAAGCTCTGTGAGACTCTGAATTAAAGAAGGATGAAATTGTTCTTCACAACTGAAATACTATCACATGATTTCCGTGTGTCTCTAATTTCTTCTCCTTCCAGGAGTTGACATTGTAGAAAATAGAGTAGTTTGGTATCTTGCCATTGAATGAAACTTGGCAAAATGACAAAATGTGGGTAATAGTAATTGTTTGATAGCGCATATTAAAGCTTTGTCCTTCATTAGTTTTTAAATTTGAAATACAGAAAGACATTTGGTGAGAGGACTGAAATACATAAGCCATACTGATAACATATTCTATCTGAACTGCCCAAGGTAAACCAAGAATAAAAATAAATCCCTTGATGAGGTGCAGAAATAGGTCATGTCACCAAGAGTAGATAACTAAAAGGCCTAGTTATCACTGCAGTTTAAAGGATATAATGTATTGAAGTGTCAGATGATTTTTTTAAAAAGCAGCATCAAAAAGGAAAGAGCGCTGAACTGGGAGTCAGAAGATCACCTTCTAATCCCAGTTCCACCTCTTGAGAAACATGTGAGTTAGGGCAAGTCTTACAGACTCTTGTCAAGCATCCTTCACCCCTCTGTAAACATACTAACTGATCTGCCAACCTTATAAGGTTGTTATGAAGATAAAATGAAGTGGAAGGGCTTATGAAATTGTAGTTTTGAACATGCTGTTATGTATTATAAAATAGAATGCGGATTATTATCTCTTTCCCCAGAACTTTTGGAAGGATTTGAAGTAATAGCTCTAAAATTGCTTTTGTTTTCTAATAATGCAAGTTGTTTTTTCTCTACTTAAGCCTACCCTATGTGATTCCCAATAAGAAATTAAATGAGTTACTAATTTTCATTCACTGAAAAGTATGTATGCCTGACTATAATTAAAACTTACAGTACTGCTATCAATAGTTTAATACCTAACACAAACTATTAACTACCCTTCAGTCTACCAAAGGAAGTGAAGAGGTTTAACTTAATTCTTACCATCTGGCAGTAATTACTTCTGGTTCTTTTTTGTTTAATCATACCTTTTCCTTGGAGTCTAGAGAAGGAAAATGACGTATGGACTCAGACCTGTCTTCCATAAATAAATAGCTTGAACAGAAACTTGAGTAACATTTGTCACCTATATAAAAATGCAAAAATCTCATTGTTACAGTATGTAAGAAGACTAAATGTGCTAACACAGTTGAATTACCATGGTAATTCAATCCATCTCCAGACAATTAAACATACTGAATTTGTTATGGTGGATTAAATCAAATCACACTTTAAAGAACTTGGTGGAATAGTCAAGTGTATATATTGTAGCATGTTCATATAGGTGTTTTACAAATATAGAACTAATAGCAATATGTGTGCAATATTAACACAGTGTGTTTCATGAGTAGTGTGTGGATTAACTATAGGAATGAAACAATAGAACAGAAATCATTAAGGGATACTTCCCTCTCTGTGCTCTTCCCCTCTCCTCCACCATGTTTCTACCCTTCTGGCATTTTGCTGTTTTTGTTGAACCTAGCTCAAGCACACTTCATTTCCAGGTAGTTTTCCATGTCATCTTCCTAATCTAACCCACCATCTCCAACAAACCTAGAAATCTGAGATCACCAGTTCCCACTAGTTCCTCCTCCGTGCTCTTTTCCCCATGTTTTACCCACCACCCTCATTTTAACCATTTTTTTCACTATTGTAACCATATTTTTATTTATCTACCTTAGCCTGTGAGTTCCTTGAGGGTGGGTCCTTATCTTTCATCTTTGAATTTTCATTTCCTTGCATAGCACTCTGCCCATGGTGGATACAAAATGGGCAAATACCTTCTGTTAAGAATAAATTAGCATATATTGAGTCTATTGTGAGCTGAGCAATGCACCCAGGCTGTAAATAGAGACCCATTCCCGACTTGGAGCAACTTTTGATCTGAGTCAGAACACACATGGGTGGGAATTAACAGCAACATGAGGTAGCACATACTAACTGAGATGAATGCTAGAACAGCAGTTCTTGATACTATGAGGACTTACTAAACTCCTTGAAATTGTATGCAAAATTTTGTGTGTTAGCATGTGCCTTTTCCTGGATGAAATATCTATGACTGTTTTCTTCAAGGGATTCTAACCTGAAAAAGTTGAGAAGTAATGAAGTAGATATTAGGTACTGTAGACATTCTAAAGTAGAGAAATGCATATTGTGAACTGGACTGGTCTCATTGTCTCCTTTTGTAATCATCCTGACAAATGAGACTGTGTTATAGGCAGAGTTTGCTGGCTACCTTAAAAATATCTGTTTCCCATTATAAATGGCTTTATATTCTAAAGCAGAACTAATTACATGTCAGAGTCTGAGGCTTTGCTAGTGTTGGCAAATGTATTGTGGCTTTTTTTTGAACCAAAATAATTAATAATATTTCAAACTTGCTTTTTAAGTATTGTTACCTGACAGTAGTTTTTTAATTTATGGCTTGGCTATCCAATAGAATGCTGTGTCTTGTAAGAAGTAGTACATGTAGGGATTACTTGTAGTTCATCATTTTTTTTTTTTTAGTTTATACTTTTATGGGAGAGAATGCCTTTGGTGTGAAAGTTAAGAAAAATGTTTACATATCTCTTTTTCCTTAAAAGATTCATAAAGTAGTATGCAGCTGTATAGGGGAGTCAATGCTCAATGCACAATCATTAATCCACCCCAAGCCTAATTTTCATCAGTGTCGTCCAATCTTCTGAAGAATAACGAACAAGTTCTTACATGGTGAACAAATTCTTACATAGTGAATAAGGTCTTACATGGTGAACAGTACAAGGGAAGTCATCACAGAAACTTTCGGTTTTTATTACGCATTATGAATTATAAACAATCAGGTCAAATATGAATATTTGTTTGATTTTTATACTTGATTTATATGTGGATCCCACATTTCTCCCTTTATTATTATTATTATTATTATTATTATTTTTAATAAAATGCTGAAGTGGTAGGTAGATGCAAGATAAAGGTAGAAAACATAGTTTAGTG